CTTTTTATTGGTTGTGATCACTTAATGGAGAGTTGCGGCCAAAGGTTGATAGGCGTTTGTCCGAGCGAGGTCGAACATGGTCTTTTGTCATGACTGCAGCCGAGGGCCGGTTTATGTTAGTTTGAACTAGGTCGGTTGTAGCCTAAATTTAGTTGTGGCCGAGGGCCGGTAGGTGTTAGTTCGAACAGGATCGAGCATAACATGCATTTAATTGTGGTCGAGGGCCAGTAGGTGTTAGTTCGAACAAGGTCGAACATAACCTGAATTTAATTATGGACGAGGTCCAGAAGGCGTTAATTCGAACAAGGTCGAACATAACCTGCATTTAGTTATGGCCCAGCAAGGTCGAACATAACCTGAATTTAATTATGGCCGAGGGCCAGTATGTGTTAATTCAAACAAGGTCGAACATAACCTGCATTTAATTATGCTCGAGGGCAAGTAGGTGTTAGTTCGAACAAGGTCGAACTTAACCTGAATTTAATTATGGCCGAGGGCCAGTAGGTGTTAATTCGAACAAGGTCGAACATAACTTGAATCTTAGAAAGATGTGCTGATAACCGTAAAGTTTATTGCCACGGTATTGTTGCTTTGGTTACATACTTGGAGATATTTACAAGTTTTTCGGGCATTGGCTAGCGTTCCAGTCCCAGTCTATCTAGTCCCTTCATTGGTTGACCTAGAGAGTACTTGAGAGGTCGAGCAATGAATTAGTAGTCATGGCATCGTCCTTGCATACTTTGACTTAAAGTGTTCCCTTCGTCGCCTCATTAAAAAACTCCTTGAGAAAACCCAACTGGACAAAACTCAAGTAAGAGAAAAAAGAGTACGACTTGGGGGAGCTTTATCTTTTAAAAGTTGAAGTATTTGAGGTGGCTAATATTCGAGTTGTTTGGTAGTAACTTTCCTTCCATTGTTTCTAATTGGAATGATCCTTTATTTGCCTTTGTTGTGATCTTGTACAGACCATCCCAATTTGTTCCTAGTTTGCCTTCCCGTGGGTCTTTGCTCGCTTGTGCTTTAGCTTTAAGCACGTAGTCCCCGACTTTGAGCGGTCTGACCTTTACTTTCTTGTTATAATAGCGTTCTGCTTGTTGTTTCTGGGCAATCATTCTATATAGGCCATATCTCTTTGCTCTTCGACTTCGTCGAGCTCCTGCCTTCTGCTTTCGTCGTTGCTCGTACCGCTCTCATGGGAGTACCTTAGGCTGGGTTTCTCCGACATCGACTGGTATTACTGCATCAGTCCCATAGACCAAAGAGTAGGGTGTCTCTCCTGTGCTCATTTTTGGAATTGTTCGATAAATCCATAATACTTCTAGTAATATTTTCGGCCACAGTCCCTTGGCGTTTTCAAGCTTTTTCTTCATGATGTTCAGTATCGACTTGTTGGAGGCATCTTCTTGACGTTGCCTGCAGGGTGGTATGGCGTCGAGAGTATCCTTTTGATATGCCATTTCTCAAAGAACTCGGTGGTTTTCTTTTCCGTGAACTGGGGTCCATTGTTGCAGCTGATCTCTTTGGGGAGGCCGAACCGGCATATGATATTCCTCCATATAAAGGTGATTACTTCCTATTCCCGTATTTGGGCGAATACTCCTGCTTCCACCCACTTAGAAAAGTAGTCAGTTAATACCAAAAAAAATCGTACGTTACCTCGTCCTGTTGGGAGGGGGCCCATAATGTCCATTCTTCATTTGATGAACGGCCAAGGTGAGATGACCGAGTGGAGGTGATCGCCTGCCTGGTGAATCATTGCGGCCTCCTTTTTCATAGTGGGTCAGTATCTAGAGCCCGATTGCTAGAGTGAGCTCCACAATGGCCTTCGTAGACCTCTTTAAGGACGCGTCGAGTTTGGTTTGGGCCCAAGTATTTTGCTCGAGGGCCACCGTAAGTTCTCTTATACAGGTCGTTATGGATGATACTGTATCTGGCCGCTTGCATTCTCAGTTTCTTGGCCTTTTTTTTATCATCTGGGAGTATGTCGTCCTGCAAGTATGTAATAATATGATTGCGCCAGTCCCAAGTTAAGTTTATGGTTCTTACCTCGAGTTGGTCTAGCGACGAGTTAAGGAGGTGGACCACGCTTCTATCTCCGGTTGTAATGTTTTTGATGGCTGCGGCTAGCTTAGCGAGGCTATCTGCCTCAGCATTTTGTGCTCGTGGAATTTGGTCGAGCTGACATTCGTCGAACTCGGGCAGTAGCTTGCAAATTTCGATTTGATATTTTTGCAATCTTTGTTCCTTGATTTGGAAAGTCCCTGTGACTTGGTTGACTACGAGTTGGGAATCACAGCGTAGTTTTAACCATTTCGCCCCATACTTGAGTGCTAGCCTCAAACCTGCAATTACGGCCTCATACTCTGCCTCGTTGTTAGTCATATCCAGGCACCTTATAGACTAGCGAATTACTCCGCCGGTTGGGACTTCGAGTATGAGTCCCAGTTTGGACCCTGACACGTTGGACGCGTCATTGGTGTACAGGACCCAGAGGTCTTGTGTTTAAGGGGAAGCTTGGGCAGCTTCTCTTTTAACTTCGGGCATTACTTTTGCGTTGATGTCGGCGACGAAGTCAGCAAGCACTTGTGACTTTATCGTTGTTCGCGGCTGGTACGTGATATCGTGCTCGCTTAGCTTGATAGCCCATTTGGCCAACCTTCCCGATAGTTCGGGTTTATGCAAAATTCTTCTTAGGGGGAAATTCATGACGATCGAGATGAGGTGGCATTGGAAATACGGTCTAAGATTTCGTAAAGCTACGGCTAAGGCCAGGGCGAGTTTTTCGAGGTGAGGGTACCTCGTCTTAGCGTCGACTAATGTTTTGATAATATAATAGATGGGGGATTGCGTACCTTTATTTTGTCGAACTAGGATTGCGCTCACAACTACTTCGAATACAGCAAGGTAAACGAGGAGACGTTCCCCTGGCTCCGATTTTAATAGCAATGGTGGCGACCAAAAGTATGCTTTTAGTTCCTTCAGGGCCTGGACGCTCTCAGAAGTCCATAGGAGGCTGTTATCCTTCTTAAGTACGCTGAAGAATTTGTGACACCTATCCGACGATCGTGAAATAAACCTTGATAGGGCGGCGACACGGCCAGTCAACCTTTGAACTTGCTTTTTGGTGGTCAAGTGTTCTGGTATCCCCTCGATGGCTTTGATTTGATCAAGATTGACCCCGATCCCTCGCTGTGATACCAGGAAACCTAGAATTTTCCTGAGGCCACGCCGAACGCACACTTTTCGGTGTTCAGTTTCATTCCGTATCGTCTGAGTATGTTGAAGGTTTCTCTTAGATGGTCGATATGATCTTCTTTCCTTTTGGACTTGAACAGCATGTCGTCTATATAGACCTCCATCGTCTTGCCGAGCTGGTCCTTGATCATCCTTGTCACATACCTTTGGTAAGTTGCCCCTACATTCTTTAGCCCGAAGGGCATGACCTTGTAGCAGTATATCCCTGATGGATGATGAATGTGGTTTTTTCCTGATCCTCTTCTTCCATAAGGATTTGATTATAACCTCAATAAGCGTCCAAGAAGCTCAGTAATTCATGTCGGGCCGTTGCATCGATGAGTTGGTCGATATGGGTTAATGGAAACGAATCCTTGGGGCACGCTTTGTTCAAATCTGTGAAATCCACGCACATCTGCCATTTCCCATTCTTCTTTTTCACCATGACCACGTTGGCGACCCACTAGGGATACTTCGACTCCCTGATGGAGCCATTTTCCAACAATTTTTCCACCTCTACACGTACCGCGTCATTAATTGCGGAGTTGAACTTACGCCTGACATGTCTTACTGGGGGTTAGAATTGGTCAACGTTCAGCTTGTGCATGGCGATTTCCTTTGNCTTACGCTTTGGGTCGGTTCGACCTTTTAATGTAAGCTAGCGTTAGTGGCTCGTAAGCTTTGGGTCGGTACGACCTTTAATATGGGCTAGCGACAGTGGCTCTTACGCATTGGGTCGGTGTGACCTCTAATATAGGCTTTACTTTTCCCTAGTTAAGGACTTTGAAATTGTGTTTGCCTGACTCTTCGACGGTTTGATAAAACCTTGATTGTGAGTCGTTATATGGCGATGATCGAGCACCTCGGGAGGTTTTTCTCAGAGGCTGAGTATCCCGAAGCCTGTAGTTAAGAGCTAACATGGTCGAACCTCTTTTGCCTATGCCGAGGGTAGCCCATTTAACCAGTTCTTTTCGTAGTATATTCGAAGTAATTGAAGTCCTGTGATTTTATAGCGACAGTCGGGCGTCCTCGAGTCGTGTTAGTTTGGCTGGTACAGCCTAGTGACCGTAGTCATTGTGTTTGGCCGGAGCCTTTCAGTCCCCGAATGAAGTAGTTTCAGTGTCCATATCGAGGGTATGCCTTTTTAGGGGTCTCGTCATTAATTGCGGAGTTGAACTTACGCCTGACATGTCTTACTGGGGGTTAGAATTGGTCAACGTTCAGCTTGTGCATGGCGATTTCCTTTGGGATACCTGGCATATTTGCATGGCTAAAAGCAAACAAATTTGCGTTAGCTGCAAAGAATTGACGAAATTTACCTGGTCCTGAAGTTTGCAGCCGATGTAAGCCTTCTTGCTGTGGTCGTTGAGGTTTAATTGAACGGGGTCGAGGTATTCTATGGTTGATCCTGCAGCTTCGACCATATCCGGGTCTCTGATACCGTCCCAGCTGTTGTCATATGCTGATCTCGACCCTACTGATTGCTATGCCTCTTTTTCTTTATCCTTCTTTTGTTGGGCGGCCGAGTTGTCTAGGGCGATGCAGTAACATTCTTGGGATGTGCATTGTTCCCCTCATATACTGAATATTCCCCAGGGAGTTGGGAACTTGATGACCTGGTATAAGCTGGAAGGGACGGATCTCAGGGTGTGTATCCATGGTCGCCCTACTATGGCGTTGTACACTGTGTCTTGATCCATGATGCGGAATGTGGTTTCCAGAGTGACGCCACCGGCCAGAACGGGGAGTGTGATTTCTCCAGATGTTTACTCAACTGCATTGTTAAAACCAATTAGTGTGATGCAGCGCGCCACTATCTTATCTTCGAGTTTCATTTGTGCAAGTACTGGAGGATGGATAATGCACGTGCCGCTCCCGTCATCTACCATAATGCGTCTCACATCGGCATCTGAAATTTGTAAGGTAATAACGAGGGCATAATTGTGAGGAAAGGTCAAACCGTTGGTGTCTAACTTATCAAAGATAATACTTTCGACGAGTTTGTCATGCCGTTCGCGGGTGATTGACCGCTTAAGATTGTGGGTGGTGGTGAATTTCACGCTGTTAATGGATGAGCCATCACTTTCTCCAATGATCATGTGGATGGTACATGATGGCGAGGGTGGTTTTGGCCATCCTTGGTGTTTCTCGTGTCCTCTGGCAAAGTTGGTCCTTCCCCGGTCGCTTAGCAACTCTTTGAGGTGTCCTTGTCGCAACATGTTTACGACCTCCTGCCTTAGGGCGATGCAATCCTTGATTTATGCCCTCATTCTTGATGGGACTCACAGAGGGCGTCGGATTTTCTGGTACTCAGATCTCACCTTATCTTCTGCGGCCACTTTACCTTCGGCCCGAGTTTCTCCAAAGCATAGACTATCTTTGTAAGTGACACACAAAAATTGTGAGCCGATAGTAAAAGGGGCATACCTCTTTCATTCCGGTGAGTCCTTGTCCTTGGTCTAGACGGGTCCTCTTCGTAGCGGAGAGAGGCCACAGTAGTCTATTTGACATACGACTGATGCCGTTCCCTATTAGGTCGCGGAACTACAAGACCTCTTCTAGCATCGTTCCTTTGATCTTTTCTGGATTTGGCATATATCGCGGTCAGTCGATGAGTTGGTTTATTGAGGTCGTCCTCATCTGCTCGGACCTTGACACAATAAGCCTTGTGTATTTCGTCCCAAGTGGTTGGGGGATACTTCATCAGCCGACTCAATAATTTCCTGGTTGCTCTTGAAGCATCCCTGCTCAGCCCGTTTTGAAAGGCTGCAACCGCTATTCCTTCGGATACGTTCGGAAAAGTCATCCTCACTCGATTGAACCGGACGAGGAAGTCCCTCAGCCCTTCGCTTAGGGCCTGTTTAATGGCAAATATGTCGTTCACTCTTGCTTCGGCCTTTTTGGCCCCGGCATGGGCCGTTACGAACTTGTCGGCCATCTCTTTGAAGGTTTCTATGAAGCGTGCTGGTAGCTGTTGATACCATGTTAATGCTCCTCCCATGAGGGTTTCGTCGAATTTTTTTAGCAAAATGGAGGACACTTGTTCTTTGGCGAGATCATTTCCTTTCATGGCGGTGACATAATGGGTAACATGATCTTCCGGGTCGGTCGTGCCATCATATATCCTGAGATAGGGCGGCATTTTGAAGGTTTTTAGTATGGCATGGGGAGCTGTATCATCACTGTATGCTCAATGAAATGGCCGGCGTCTCTTTTCGGTAACAATTTAGGGGGCGCCTGGTATTTTATCGACCCACCCCTGATGTTTTTTCATATGATCTCAGAGCGCCTTATTTTTATTCTCCATTTCTTCCATCCCTTTTAGGATGACTGTAAGGGCATTATCACCTCCATTATCAATGACATTGTGAGTTGTACCTGTTGTTGGACAAGGTGGTTGACTACCCCACTCGTCCGTTTGTTGGATCATAACAGTCTTTGCGGTTTCTGCAGTTGAGCCTGGGGTGGGTTTGTTAAGGATGCTCGTCAGCGTGTCAGTCAACCAAGCCTCGAGAAGGTTTTTTGACAGCTTGGGGTGCCCCTTCCTCCGCAGACGTAGTGGATCCTTTTCCATGAGGTTTTGTTATTGTAACGACTCAGGCAGTCGTTTCGAGTGTTAAAGCCCCATTCCCCCACTTCCTGCTTCTTTTGTGTTCTACAACTATATTATGATATACCGGGTTAGTTGGTTTGGGTCCGGAGTGGTTTCGGAGTGAATTGAGACACAGTCTCTTAATTGAAAGCTTAAGTTAGAAAAGTTGATCGGATGTTGACTTATGCGTAAACGATCTCGGGTTTGAATTTTGATGGTTCCGTTAGCCCCGTTAGGTGATTTTGGACATAGGAGCGCGTCCGGAATGTGATTTGGAGGTCTGTAGTTGAATTAGGCTTGAATTGGCAAAAGTTAGAATTTTGGCGATTTTGGCCGGCAGTGGAAATATTGATATCGGGGTCGGATTGGATTTTCGGAAGTTAGAGTAGGTTTGTGGTCTAGTTTATGACTTGTGTGCAAAGTTTGAGGTCAATTGGACGTGGTTTGGCCGGTTTCGGCGTCGTTTGTGGAATTTGGAAGTTTAGAAGTTCTTTAGGCTTGAATCCGAGTGCAATTTGGTGTTTTGATGTTATTTTGAGTGATTCGAAGGTTCGACTAAGTTCGTATCGGGTTATAGGACCTGTTGGTATGTTTGCTTGTAGTCCCAAGGGCCTCGGGGTGATTTCGGGTGGTTGACGACTTGATTTGAGTTGAGGAATTGCAGCTGAAGTGTTGCTGCTATTGGTGTAACCGCACCTGTGGAGTGGGAACCGCAGGTGCGAGCCCGCAGAAGCGAAGGAGGAGCCGCAGAAGCTGCCAAGGACGAGCTGGGCAGGAGTCGTAGGTGCGAAGATTTTCCCGCACCTGCGAGAGTTGCAGATGCGGGCAGCTGGGCGCAGGTGCAAGAGGGAGCCGCAGGTGCGATGGATTTCCGCACCTGCGATGGACGCAGATGCGGTCTTGAAGCTGCAGGAGCGGAGCCTGGAATTTTAAGTGGAATCCGCACCTGCGATAGAATTTCCGTAGGTGCGGCGTCGCAGATGCGACAGAGGGCCCGCAGGTGCAAAAAGTCTGGGCAGAAGCTTAAAAGGCAAGGGTTCGCGATTTTGGTCTTATTTCTACATCTGAGACTCAGACTTAGGCGATTTTGGAGGAGATTTTCGAGGGAATTATTGAGGTAAGCTTCTTGAACTTGTTTTGGATCATAAATCTTATTTATCCAATGATTTCCCCACCTAATTAGCAAGATTTCGAAGTGAAATTTGGGGGTTTAGGGCTTGAGAATTTAGAGAGTGGATTTTGGGGATTTGGTTGACCAAATGAGGTCGGATTTTGATGAATTTGGTATGGTTAGACTCGTGAGTGAATGGGCTTTCGGGTTTTGTGACTTTTGTTGGATTTCGAGACGCGGGCCCGGAGGCCGGGTTTGTGTCGATTTCGGATTGACTCTAATTTGGTAGTTTTCTTGTGGAATTGATCCCTTCAGCCTATATTGATTGTATTGTATTACTTGTGGCTAGATTTGGGACGTTTGGAGGCCGATATGAGAGGCAAAGGCATTGCGGAGTAGGATTTTGCTTAATTCGAGGTAAGTAACGCTTCCAAACTTGGTTCTGAGGGTTCGAAACCCCAAATTATGTGTCATGTGATTGGTATTGAGGTAACGCACATGCCAAGTGACGGGCGTGTGGGCATGCACCGTGAGAATTGTGACCTGGTAATTCCATGGCACCATTTAGTGACTCTATCCTGTTGATATCTATGTTTTCATCATATGATAAAGTAATTGAGCTGTAAATCATGCTAGATATCATGTTTAGGCTTTATGCCGGTAATGTTGGGACCCTTAGTGGTCGTTTCTTGCTGTCATCTCACTATTTTCATTAATATCCCGTACTTAGTCATGTTCATGCATTTTTATATCATATCTCAGTCTCAGTTATTCATTGATTCATCATATCATTGTTCCGAGTTTATTTTCATGACATTGTGAGCCCGTGGGTGAGACTGGAGAGATTGATGACTGAGTGAGGCTGAGATCCTGGTTATGAGTGACAGTTATGGGATCGGGCTGCACACTGCAACGGTTATATTGATGATTATGATAGCGCTTGGGCTGTAGGAGCCCCTCCGGAGTCTGTAACACACCCCCAGTGAGGGCGGATGATATTATTGAGGGATGGATTTTCCTGGACATGGATTTGTCCGAAGTACTTGATACTTGGAGATTGATCTTCTCCACAGGGTTGGATTACCCTTTTTCCTCGGTACTGGGTGACTTATAGTCAGTGTTGTATATGTTCTGGGATGGATCTTCCCTGGGCCGGATGGCCATATACAGTACCGAGTGGTTGAGCACTTGAGAGTGGGAGCACATGGTGCATTTCATACAGTCTGTGCATTGGCATGTAGAGATAACTGAGTTGTATAGCTTACACTGTTTAGACCTGTATTTACTTTATTGCCTTGAGCTGTCTATTTAACTTGAAAGCATGCTACGTTTCTGCACATTTATTTTTGTCATATCTGTTGCGGTTGAGTTCGTCACTACCTTTCAGTCCAAAGTTTGGACTTGTTACTTACTTAGTTGGTGTACTCATGTTACTCCCTGCACCTCGTGTGTAGATCCAGGTGACTCTGTTCACGGCGGCGGTTGCTGATTGAGACCCCAGAGTTTGGAGACTATCAAGGTAGTTGCACAACGTTCGCGGGCCTTGACTCTCCTTCTTTATCCTTTGATGTATTTTCAGTTGTTTTCTTTATACCTTGTAGTGGATTGCATTTCGAATAGACGCCCCGGTTTTGGGCTGGATTGTATCACGCTTTGGGATTTATTATGTTTTCAAAAGAGTTTCTTTAATGTTAACTGTTTCCGTCATTATCTTAAGGTTATTTTACTGTGTTGGACTGTTGAGTTGAGGCTGGCCTAATTCCACGATAGGCGCCATCATAACTGTTGATTTTGGGTCGTGACAGTTATGCTGCAGTATGGGGGTGGCGACCCATCTCGCCTAGGGGACACACTCAGCATCGTATCCTCACTAGCTGTATCGCACCTTTCGTTGAGGATGATTATGAGGTTGGTAGGTAAGTCACTTGTTATCCTCACCCTTTCTTCTCGATTACCTACCTTGTTAGATTTTGCACAAGGAAAGAGAAAAGATCTTGGGCTTTGTGACATTAGTGACCGACATTAGTTATAGATCTAGAGGAGAATAAAAGTTTAGCTAAGAAATCCCCACAGGAGGCGCCAAATTGTTTGACGCAAAAACATAAATATTGGTTAAACTAATTAATTTCAGTTAGGTATAGGTTAATCCTAGTTAAGAATAATATCCTCAGATCTTATAAATCAGAAAAGGTAGTTGAGTGGCATATATGAGGACAATAACGATTCTATGTAATAAATGCCTTCTACTATCAAGAACAATAGCAGTATGTGCGATATACAATAAATGACAATATAATGGCACTCATATAATTAAGAGGAATAATTTAATCAGTAAGAGGTGAAACAAAAGAACCTTCCACCTGATAATGATTAACCGACATATCTTCAAACGATGGGAGATTCCTCGGATCTGACGAGAATCTTAGTGAAAAGTAAAGTCTTATATTGAATGAAGAATGAGTCTTTTTCAAAGTGTTCTTCTTACAAATGAATCTCACGTGCCTCTATTCTCACTT